AAAGTAGCAAAACATTGAAATACTTAAATAAAGTACAAGTATCTCAAAATTGTGCCCAAGTATAGTACTTGTTGAGTTTATGAACTTAGTTACTTTACACCAGTGGCTATAAAGATAGAAAGACTAAGCCTTGCACAGAGGCATGAAAATACATTTTCAAAATGCTCAACAGTGCTGCCAAAATTATAAACTGACTGCTACACAATTAAAATAAATGCTTTTATATATTTATATTAGATGTGACTCTTTGGCATTTCTGTTATTATTAACTGCTTTAGTTGTTCTGACTGCTAAAATCCTCTGTTATTCCTCATTTTAAAGCCGATATATCGTGGGGTGGGGGAGCCGGGGGCTCGGATCCTTGTCACCTTTTTCATACCTGATGAGTTTGCATCCCTGCTGATAATCCATCATTCCATTTTTGTCAAAAACTGAGATTTCATATTAGCTGCTATGAGAGCTACAACCCAGCTTCCGGTTTTGGGCAAACTGCGTGCGCATCACTCTCCCTCCTCAATGGAAATGTTTAGATGAACGTCCCCTCGATTCTATTGGCTCTAACGGTTAAAAAGAGATGTCAATCATCAAAATCGACCAATGGGTTCCAGAGATATGGAAAGTCCACCCAAATGACCCCAGAAGTGTGTTATTTTTTCTAAACCTCTCTAAAAAGGTCAAACTTCACTCGTTTTGCATCAATCTTGATACAGGGTACTTATTATACAGTATGTTATAGTTTGGATTCCTAAAGCTTTTAGTTTACCATCCCATCATTCAAGGGTGGTTTTCACTATAAGTAATGTTTTCTTTTTGGACCGACACTATAATTTACATTTTTTTTACTATGTTCAATCTGAATTTACTTTAAAATAAAAACATCTATATTGATTCTGACTTTTCTACATCCAACTCACAGATGTAACCTTGCTTTGAGAAAAAAGATGATTAATTTACCCCTTTTAGAAGGGAAGATATGGTCATTTGTTCTGGGAATGTCATTTTCGAGCCTGAGACCTGAAAAACAGGCTCGGGGCTCAACAGGTTAATTGAATGCACTACATTGATTGAATATAAAATGGTTCCCGATTGTCCTTTTTTTAAATCATCGAAAGCTTGTGAATATAAAGAAGAAAATATCAAGGGCTTGAACGTTTTTGAAAATAGACCAAAACAGACACGTTGAAAGTGCTTACATATATATATTTTGTGCAAGATTAAAAATGTTTTTTTTTTACTAACGTTGATCATTTTTAAAATACTTTTACACTGTCTTCATGTCTCTGCAATAGCTTGATTGTTTTCTACAAGAGCTGTCTCAAAAAATTCTCAACTATAATTCACTTTGATGCGATTCTCAAACTTTGCTGTTTTTGGTTCCTAAATGGAGGGAAATTAAGCAGAAAGACTTTGAATTTGAGGGTTAAGAAGCTGTGGGAACCCAACAATGTAATAATCTGTGTATTTTTGACAACAGGAGTATGTGCTGCAGGAGGACGGCACCATCACTCCTCTGAACAACGTGCAGAACTACGTGCTGAGTGAGCAGCAGGCGGGGGAGATCCTGGCGCAGGTACCTGGGGAACGTTAACAGAAAGCCACAGAGGAATTCAATCAGAAAGGGGTTTGAAGGTCATTTCTGTGTGTTTTCCAGGTTCTCGCTCAGCAGCAGCTGCAACAGCAGACACGTCAGCCTGTCTTCAAACCTGCGGCCCCCTCCCGCTCCACCCTGTTGCCCCCGGTGACGGCGGCCCCCGGCTCTGCCACCATGCACCTGCAGATCCTCACTGCTCAGGCTCTGGCAGATAACTCCTCCTCGCCCAGCCAGCGCCGCTCCAAGCTGCCCCCCCTGCTGCCTGCGCTGGGCCGGGGTTCCTCGGGGGTCCTGGAGAACGGGGTGCAGAGACTGGAGTTAAGGTTGGCCCCCAGCGTGAGGGAGGAGCAGCAGGCCACAGAGGTGCTGGTCATCCACCCGTATGAGTGCTCAGAATGCTCCCTTCTCTTCCAGACGCCGGAGGACTTCCTCCAGCACCAGGGGGAGCACTTCCTGTGTCAGGACAAAGAGAGCGGGGAGCCAGGCGTCATGAGCGGCTTCGAGGAGGTGCGGGGGAGGGAAGAGGCGACGGAGAAGGTGGAGGACATTAGGATCAGAGTGGCAGAGAAGAAAGCCGCAGTCTGGGCCAAGCCCCAACAGTGTGAACTCTGCAGCCGCACGTTCACCTCCGTCAACAGGCTGGCGGCTCACAGGCGCGTGCACGAGCAGGGCACGCACGAGTGCCCCGAGTGCGGCAAGGTGTTCAAGAAGGCCACCTCCATGCAGACACACATGCGCACACACTCGGGCGTGGCAAGGTATCTGTGTGTGGACTGTGGCACCGGCTTCACCACTGAGATGACTCTGATCATGCACAGGTAAGATATATCTACTGATCTCTGCTATGGATCAAGGCTGGACTGAAGTGCTTGAATCTTAAAAGCTTTATTCTTAAAACCTTATATTTAATCACTTCTGTTTTATCTTGCAGGAAGTCCCACATTGCAGACCCCCTCCACAAGTGTCAGTTCTGCAACAAAACCTTCACCAACATGACCAAGTACCTCTACCACCGCAGAACCCACCTCAACCGCGACTCCGCCCTCACACCAGCCCCCATTCACCGCAATTCAGCTGACACACCAGCCCCTACCTCCACGGTAGTAACATAAGCAGACGCCCCTCCAAATTAGTTCACAACCTCAGAGTAACAACAGCATTTCATTTTACTTATGCTTGTTATTTTCTGTAGGTCTTGGCTCCAAGAAGAGTGTCTCTCTCTACCCTCGCCATCCTACAGAGGGCGAGAGAGAAGAACTCACACACTACTGAGCTGAAGGTCAACATACTGACTTCTCACAAGGAGGAAGAGATGGGTACACCTGGACAAGATCCAGAAATGACAGGAGGGGAAGGGGAGCAGCAGGGGGAAGACATTGAAATGGAGGTGTCTGCCCCACCTAAAGGCACCACCATCGAGCCCCAGCAGGAGAAGTCTGTCACTAACTCTGCCCCCCTGGGTGACACCGGAGGAGGCGTCAAAGCTATTGTCTCTCCACCTGCCTCATCAGACAAAACCTCTTTCTCCTGTCGTACTTGCTCCAAGACCTTCCCCTCCCAGCTGCAGCTCGTTCACCATCGCCGCAAGACCCACGTCACCGAGCGCAGCTTCATGTGTGGCATCTGCGGAAAGACTTTTAAGAAGCAGATCCATGTGCGCAACCACATCCGCACCCACACCGGGGAGCGGCCCTTCCAGTGCTCCGACTGCGGGAAAACATTCTCGTCTCTCGCCAACCTCACCAGGCACACACTCATCCACTCGGGCGTGCGTCCGTACCGCTGCGACGTCTGCCACCGCTCCTTCTCCCAGTCGTCCAACCTCCGTCAGCACAGCCTGCTGCACTCCAGCGCTGCCACGCTCTGCTGCCCCGACTGCCCCGCCACCTTCCGCTGGCCCACTAAGTTAGCTGCTCATCGCTACACCCAACACCAGGGGTCTCCGGCGCCTTTCCCGTGTCCCCACTGCGAGGCCGGCTTCCTGACCCGGAGACAGAGAGAGGGACACTTTCTGGAGCTGCACCCCACCCTGGTGCAGCCCGGTACGGGGACAGAAGAGGACAAAGAAACAGAAGCAGTGGCGGGGAAAGATCTGAGCTCAAAGCCCTCCACCTCAGCAGAGACAGAATCAGGGGATTCAAGCGGTCTCTCGCGTGGGGGTTTAGACTGTAATATTTGTGGGAAGAAGCTCAATTCTCCAGCCAACCTGCGACTCCACAGACTGAGTCACTTCTCTTTGGGCCCCGGGCGAACGCGCTGCGCCACAGGGAAGAGAACCAAAGCCCACCAGTGTCCCATCTGTGGAAAACTGTTCGTGTCTTCCTCGGGAGTCGCACTTCACCAGAGGGTCCACACCGGGGAGCGGCCCTTCCCCTGCCAAGAGTGCGGCAAGCGCTTCCGTCAGAACACACACCTGCGGGAGCACCTGCGCACACACTCGGGCGAGCGTCCGTTCCGCTGTGAGGTGTGTGGGAAGGGCTTCATCCAGAGCATGCACCTGGCGGAGCACCGGCGCACACACACGGGCGAGCGGCCACACGTCTGCCCGCTGTGTGGCAAAGCCTTCAAGACCTTCTCCAACCTGAGGAACCACAAGAAGACGCACGCCCGGCAGCAGAGGCTGGACGAAGCGGCCGTCGCCATGGAGACCAACTCTGCTGTGGCCGTGGTCGACCCGGCGACGGTGGAGCTGGCTAACGGGCAGCCGCAGATCATCCAGATACAGACCTCAGATCTGCAGCAGGTCAGAATGAACATCCTACTTTGAAATCTCTGGGAAAAAAAGCCATTTCGTTTTTTCTGGTTAACCATTAAAGGAGTAGCTAACCCACAAAATTACTAGTGGTATAGGTTTCTGGAAAAAGGCCTCAGAGGTTTAACAAGTATACCAAAACTGGCTATTTTAAAGCTCCTGTCTTTTAAACTCGATCAGTACATTCAAATGTTATCCTCATTTATCCAGTCATACGCTCACTTCTTCTTGAACATCCTACTCTCATATCTCTGACAAAAACATAAAACTTTCATCAGAAAAGCAAGTCATTAGCTACCATATGGGCCAAGTTTAGTTCTATTAAAGCGCATGTGTCAAACTCAAGGCCCGGGGGCCAAATCAGGCCCTTGGTGGATTTAATTTCGGCCCGCAGGATAATTTCTAATTCTTATTAGATCTGGCCCTCCGGTATATTGCACACACGCCTTCACTCCATCCTGAGGGTCTCCTCAGCTCAGAGCCTGACCCCAAACATTGATCAACTTGCCCCCAAGATGAGATGCCAAGTATCTGAACTAGCATCACAGAGCAGCAAACTGAGTTTACATGGATGTTTCCTTCTGCACTTTCTCTCTCACGACAACAGGGCATGTTTGGTTTGTTCTTTGAGGGAAATAGTTTTTTTGAAGCTGTTGTTGGCCTGTGGAAAAATGTAATCATAGGAAATGACTCTGCAGATAGAGCCATAAGAAATGAATGCAACTGATTATTTAATGTTGTTTTCATAGGCAATAATTTAAGCTTTGTTAGTTCCAGGTTTAATATTTGCAATAAGTTCATTTCAATAAGTTTTGCAATAAACATTGAACCAGTCCGGCCCTCGACTAGTACCCATTTTTTTATTTCGGCCCACTGTTTATTTGAGTTTGACACCCCTGTAATAAAGGAATAGCTAACCCACAAAATTACTATTTGTATAACAATGATTCACTTTGAATTGCTGAGAAACCTTTCTAGCAGGCCTCCAAGGTGAAAGTAGACTGGCTATTTTAAAGCTCCTGTTATTCAAACTCGTTCAGTACATTCAAACGTTATCCTCATTTATCCACTCACATGCTCACTTCTTCCCAAAAGAGTTCGGATTATACTGCACGAGTTGTGAGTTAGTAAACAGAAGTGTTGATGAAGTGTTGCTGCTGTTAAACAAGCCCCCATTCATAAAGACTTTTTCTATTTTTTGTATTCTTTGTTTAAAGATAACTCCAAGTAATGAATATACAATTTCACCATTTTGTGGGTGGGCAAAATGTAACATTTAAAAGGATGAAACTGAATCAGGACCTTTAAATATCTGCGTACTTGTTAATCTTAGAGATTTAATAGACTTACAGACGGCTTTAGTTATGCATAGAGCAAAAAACAGAATACTGCCAGAAAATATACAAAACTAATTTGTTTTAATTTCAGAGGATTATAGGAGGAAATTGAAATGTTAAGCATCAGTTTGCACAAACTACTTTAAAGCAGATGAGTGTCTCTCGTCGTAAAGAAGTGGAATTATTTTCCGAATTATTTAAAGGGCTGTAATCAGGGCTCTCGACTAAGTTTTTTCACCATCCTCCCGGAACCGTCCCGAAATACAATCGAAGCCGTCCCGAAATTAATGTGGACCGTCCCGAATTTAAAATATTAGTTTTTCTACATTATCATTAGTTAAAATCATTCAAAGTGACCTTTAACATAAATAAAACATCATACAAATCATTAGATGATAATTCATCAACCTTTTTATTTGAGTAAATGTTTCCCCTAGGATGGAGTCATAGCAGCGGTGCTAAGGCACGCGGGCCCAGCAAAATGTGAGCGCGGCGCGCGTGGACATTTTAAGTGTGTGCGCGTGCGAAGTGCTTCCCGCCATTATGTTTCTATTTGTCTGCCAGCACAAGAAAGACACATACATCATTAAAGGCTTCAAATGCATTCAGTATTGTATGAACATAATTGGTGGTTGGACATCACATCCTCTAGGGGGGTCCGGGGGTATGCCCCCCCGGGAAGATTTGTTTTTACATTTTAA